GGGGGGGGGGGGGGGGGGTCCCCAAAGTGACCCCTGACATCGGGGTGACCTTTGAGAGCAGAGACCCCGACCCTGTTATTGGGGCAGGGGGGGACACGAGGAGGGAACTTGGGGGTCCCAAAGGGTCACTTGGGGGTCTCAAAGGGGCACCAGGGGGGCAGAGGGGTCCCTAAAGGGTCACTGGGTCATGGGGGGGCACCAGGGGGGCACCAAGGGGGGCACAAGGTCATGGGGGGTCCCCAAAGTGACCCCTGACATCGGGGTGACCTTTGAGAGCAGAGACCCTGACCCCGTTATTGGGGCAGGGGGGGACGTGAGGGGGGCACTTGGGGGTCCCAAAGGGGTCCCTAAAGGGTCACTGGGTCATGGGGGGGGCACCAGGGGGGGCACAAGGTCATGGGAGGGTCCCCAAAGTGACCCCTGACATTTGGGTGACTTTTGAGAGCAGAGACGTCACCGATGTCCCTCAATTGGGGGTCTCCCCCACATCCCCCAGTTTGGGGTTCTCCCCCTCCCACTTCGAGGGTCTTCCCCTGACTTCGGGGGTCTCCCCATGTCCCCCCCAGTTTGGGGGTCTCCCCTGACCCCCCCCCATGTCCCACCAGGGCTTGGGAATCCTCCCCCCCCATCCCCCAATTTGAGGGTTTCCCCCCCACTTCCAGAGTCTCCCCTCGACTTTGAGGGTCTCCCCCTGACTTCGGGGGTCTCCCCTGACCCTCCCCCCTGTTCCCCCCCCCAGGATCTCGGACCGAGGGGGGGGGATCCCCCACGAGCTGCTGGACAAGGTGACCGAGTACCACTTCAGCACCGCCGAGGCCTCGGCACAGGACCCCCGGCTGGGGGGGCCCTTCCGCACCCTCATGGACGGCAACGGCCAGGCCGGGCCCATGCACGGGTGGGTGGGACCCCCCCAAAACGGGGACACCCCCCCAAAACCGGGGACACCCCCCCAAAACCGGGGACACCCCCCCCAAAAACGGGGACACCCCGAATTCGGGGTCCGGGGGGGTTTGAAGGGGGTTTGGGGAGAGTTTAGGGGGGATTTGGGGGGTTTGAGGGTCATGCAGGGGTGGGTGGGACCCCCCCAAAAATGGGGACACCCCCCCAAAGCCGGGGACACTCCCCCAAAAACGGGGACACCCCGAATTCGGGGCCCGGGGGGGTTTGAAGGGGGTTTGGGGAGGATTTGGGGAAGGTTGAGGAAGTTTAGGGGGGATCTTGGGGGGTTTTGGGGGGTTTGAGGGTCATGCAGGGGTGGGTGGGACCCCCCCGAAACTGGGGACACCCCCCCGAAACTGGGGACACCCCCCCAGAATAGGGGACACCCCCACGAAACTGGGGACACCCCGAATTCGGGGTCCGGGGGGGTTTGAAGGGGGTTTAGGGGGGTCTTGGGGGGCTTTGGGGGGTTTGAGGGTCATGCACGGGTGGGTGGGACCCCCCCAAAAATGGGGACACCCCCCCAAAAATGGGGACACCCCCCCCAGAATAGGGGACACCCCCCCGAAAACGGGGACACCCTGAATTCGGGGTCCGGGGGGGTTTGAAGGGGGTTTGGGGGGGATTTGGGGGCCTCTAAGGGGGTTTAGGGGAGATTTGGGGAGCTCTGGGGGGTTTGAGGGGTCTCTGGGGGTTTAGGGGATATTTGGAGGTCTCTGGGGCTTTAGGGCATCCTTGGGGGTCTCTGGGGGTTCGGGGGTTCCTTGGGGGGGTCTCTGGGGGGTGTAGGTGGTATTTGGGGGTCTTTGAGGTTTTGGGGGATCCTTGGGGGTCTCTGGAGGGTATAGGTGGGATTTGGGGGGTCTCTGGGGGGTGTGATGGGTACCTGGGGGTCTCTGGGGTTCTGGGGGGTCCTTGGGGGTCTCTAGGGGGATTTATCTGAGTTTTTGCCCCCCCC